TTTTGCTTTTTTCTTCCTTAATTCCTCGGCGGGGTCGGGGCGGTGCGTACGTCCGCGCGTGGCGGCTGCCCGCGGGGGCCGGCGCGGTGGGGGCGGGGGGCGCGGGGTCCCGCGGGCGCGGGGCTCTGCCGCGGCGGCGCGAAGCGGAGCGACGCGGAACGGAACCGGGGGGGAGCGCGGAACCGCGCCTCTCCGCCCGGGACACGCGGTGCCGCCGCCCTGAGCGCAGGTAGGAAACTTCCCAGGCGGGGTTCCCCCCCACCCCCCCTCCCGCCCTCCTCCCTGCCCACACGCGCCGCCGCCCCGACCGCTCGCACCCAACTTTTCCTCCCGGATAAAGCGCTCTGCTCCCGGGACACCGCGGGGGCTGCGGGGCGAGGGGGGGGGTTACCGAGAGGTGGGAGCCGGCAGGGTGCCGGGAGGGGGGTTGGAATGGGTTTTTTACGTTTCGTCTCGCCGCAGCGCCGTGCCCCCCGCGCAGCCCTTCTCCGCGCTGCCCCGCGGATCTCAAGTTCGGGGAGAGGGGGGACGGCGGCAGGAGGAGGCGGGGGGGGGGGAAAAAACATGTCTACGTTTGTCTATGTCGACATCAGCAACACAAAATATGGCGTCCGCTTTCGACAGGGCGTTACGTAGAGGCGAGCAGGGCGAATTTGTCGGGGCGGTGTGTAAAACGGAGCGGCGGCTTCCAGCGAGGGGAAACAACAGCCGAAAAAAAATGCAAAAGGCGTCCGGGGGGGTGCGGGCGTTGGGCAGTGGGGTCCCGGAGCCGCTCCGCTCCCCGCGGCTGGAGTTGGCCGGGACTGTCGTGCCGTGATTCCGTGCGGTTTTATTACCTTCCCCCCCCTCCGCCTCCACCGCGTCCCCTCTTTGCGCCGCGCGGAGCCCTCCGCTCGCGGCTGCCGGGGGGCGGCGGGGAGCAAAACCGGCAGCGCGGAGCCGCCCGCCCCGCTGCGATCGCGAAAGTCTCTGTTTGAGCCCCTTAATACCGGGAAGCTCGGCCTTGGGCATGTCGCGTCCACTTATTTATTTATTTGTTTTTGGAAGGGGGTGTCCTTCCTTTGGGCTTCAGTTGGTTTCCAAAGCTGTGGCGCAACTGTCTCATTTTTTTTCTTCCCTCTCTCCCCCCCTTTGGGATGAGGGGGCAAACAGAAGGCTCCTCAGTTTTGTTTCCTCTTCGCTGGGAATAAAACTTGGAAGCGCAGTTGGGATGTATGAAGAGCTCCACCTGCCCGGCTCCGGGCTCCTGCTGCCCTTCTTTCACTTTGCACCCAGGAATACCTCCAGCTGGGTGGTATCACCCTAGTTTTTGCCACTTCCTGGGGTTCCTCGGGCACCTCTCCAATGGAGCATCCCCATCCCCACGAGCAGGTGCTCCTTTAATACCCGTGGGCCACCCTGCAAAAGGGAATCCAGAAAAAGATTTGGTGTCAGAGTGCGAAAGGGGACAAAGCATCCGAAGGTGTAAGGCAGGGGGGAAGAGGAGGGCTCACAGGTCACAGGGCGGGACGGTGATGGGGTTGGGTGACTCCAGCGGCTGCTGCAGGGGAGCTCTGCCTGGAGCCATCCTACAGCTCAGCAGGGGCTGTCAGCCAGGCAGGCACAGTGTTTCCCACTTGAATTTTGTGTCCCGTCCTAATCGAGCATCAGTTTGAGGAGTTTTGGCATATCTTTTAGAAGAGAAATGACAGGAACTGCAGCAAAGTCCCTTTCCAAATTAGGGCTGAGAACTAAGATGTCAAGTGCCTCTGTAATACTGTTTTACAACCGACGGTTGTAAATCACTGCTGCTCTCTGCCTCATCATCTGGCTCACCTATGAAGAGTTGTGCTTGTTTTAAAACTCCGGGTTAAGCTTTGGGCAGGGGTTGTTCCCAGACTGGAGGTGGTGTGGGTGGGAGCAATGAGGGCCCGGCTGTCCCCACCAGAAACCGGGTTGGAAGTAGCACTGCCAGAGCACGCCTGGGTACCCAGTGAGGTGATGGGAGCAGCCCGGCAGAAGAGGGACCCTGTTGTTTAAGGGGTATCTGTGACTCAAGTTCTTTGCCTCTGTGACACATTTCAGTCCCGGTGAAGCTTTTCTCATGTAGATGTGGCTTCAGTCCTAGGAAGAGCTCAGCAGCCCTTTGTAAGGCAGAATTGCAAATGGCCCTCCGGACTAGTTCCAGCCAGCTGAGGTCCAGCAAGTTGCGAGAGTATCAATGCTAAGAAGCCCGTGAATTTCTAAAGTCATTGGCCAGTCCCTTCTTTGCTTCGGTGTGTCTGCTGCAGAGATGCAGGGCCGCGAGCTCCCGGTGTTTGTCCTCTCCTCTGGTACCTGTGGTGAGTTCAGTCCCTGGACGTGCAGAGCCCACAGCACTGAGCCCAAAGTCTGTGTGATTACTCATCTCCATAAAATGACGTTTCTCCTGCCTGGCCTCCACAAGAAGTTCTCCTGTCTGAGTTTTCTCCTCTGCTGTGGTTGTATGGGAGGAGAGCTCTCCTTCAGCTGCTCTGTCCGCAAGTCCCACAGATTTGCTTTTCTCTTCTCCTGGCTGCAAGCCGTGGTTTCCAGTGTCTGTAGGAGCAATAACCCACTGCAGGAGACACCCCAAGCTGGCAGTATCGAACTTTGATTCTTTTTCTTTGAAAGGATTTTAATGTGTTTTTAGTAAAAGCCCCAAAAAAGAGAGCTGGTGTTTAATACGGTGAAGGCACTTTCTTTGTACATTCCCAGACCGGTTTCAAACTGCAGCAGACCGGACTGTAGAAGCCAGCAGGTTTAGCTCACCCTCATACAAAAGGAAGCACTTATGCCAGGCATGGCATCGCTGTGTTTGCATGTGTGCCATCCTCTGCTGTTACTCCTTTCCCTCTGCTCTAAGTGGGATGACCCTCAGATATCGTGCTTGCAGGTTCTTGTGGTTGGGATCTTGTGATCCATATTTCTGTGCGTCCACTTAAGGAATGAATACAGCCACTGAGAATAAATAAAAATAGCGTTTTGATTATAATTTGGTTAGAAATGGAGATGGTCTCAAGTGAATTCCCTAAGATTTTAGCATGGCTATCACACAGCAAAAGAGCTGCATTTACTTTTTATGTGGAGAGTGTAATTTTAGTTTAACTTTCTTTCTAGTATAACCATAATCCAGAGAGAGTGGCCTTTCCCTGGCAGTGACTGTGAAGCCAGTGCTGTGCAATGCACATAGCATCACAGCATTACAGAATTGCAGGGTTTGGAAGGGACTGCTGGAGATCATTGTGTCCAACTGCCCTACTAAAGCAGGTTCCCTATAATAGGTCACACAGGTAGGCATCCAGATGGGTCTTGAGTATCTCCATAGAAGGAGACTCGACAACCTCTCTGGGTTTTCTAGCGCTTTGTTACCCTTACCATTAATAAGTTCTTCAAATCTCTGTGACTGTTAGTCCAAATAAACAAAATAAGGCATTAAAGGCTTTAGCTTACATCCATTAAAATGATTCCTGGTCTTCTATCAAGGTATGTGTATGTGTGCCGTGTCGGCTGGAACTCACGTGTGTGGTGTTGCTGTATGTCGGGCTGAAGTTTACTGGAAGTGCCAGTATTGTGTTGTCATAGAATCATAGTTGTTAGAGGTCAGCAGCGAGTTTTAGGTTCTTATGTAGAAGCTGCGAAAGCTGTTGGTTTCCAGAGCACTGAAAGTACTTTTAACACACAGTAGTGCTTGTTGGTGCGGAGCCCCAGATGGGATGACATGAACTGGGCCCTTGCAAGATAAAGTCAAATGAGTTCGATTCCAGCATCGTTGTCCTAAGAGAGTTCAGGAATCACCATTCCAGCCCCCGCTCCAAGAATGCCATGGCTTTGCACATCATGAGGTTGGCTTGGTTTTTTCAGTTTGTTTGTTTTGTGTTTAAGAAAGGAGACACTTCTGTTGTTTTGAGAAGCACTGTGGTTCCTGAGTCAGGGCAGTGCACTTAGCAAGCTGTTCTCTGGAACTGAGAGAACCCCAGAATGGCTCTGAAACAAAACCTGAGGTCTCTGTTTGACTGCAGAAGCTATTGCTTTATGTACACCAGCACCACAAGCACGTCTGTGCACTGGGAGACCTGGTCTGACAGGAGGACGTGTGGTTTCTGGGTGAGATGTGTAAACAGGAGGAGACTTGTGGAAAGTCCTCCTGGGGAACCCTGGAGAGTTTGTACATACGTGTGTATGAGGCACTGAGGGCCATGGCTTAGTAGGTGTGGTTGTGATGGGTTGATGGTTGAACTAGGTGATATTCGTGGTCTTTTCCAACCTTAGTGATTCTATGACTCTATGAGCATTTCAGTGGTCAGAATCCCACAGCCACACCAAAAACATGCACCTTGTGTGAATTCACTGATCATGGGTTTGTCCACCCAGATCCATCTGTGGTTTTAATGAGCTGCATCAGCAAAAAGTGCTGGTGGGACATGACCTGTACTATATCTGTGGTACTGCTGAAACCAGTGAAGTTGTGTGTATTATTAAGTTTATTGATATATTTTTATATATGTATTTATAATAAAATGTTTAGCATTTCAGTGATGTGATTTATGATGTGGTCCCATCTGGCATCAGTGGGAAAGAGAATTAACTTCACATCAACAGAGAGGGAGATGAGTTGGGAACTCCTCCACTGCCCATGTTCACTCATCATGGGACTGAAATCTTAGTTTTCCTTCCCCATTTTTCTCTCAATCTTTCTCTCCTAACCTTATTTCTCCTCTTAAATACTAAATGCTTTTTAAACTTGAAACCTCGAGTTATCTGTAGATTTTGGCATCTCATTTGTTGTTAATTGTCTGTTGTTTCCACAATTCTCTACTAAGTGCTCACTGTGTATTTGACTTGCTGGAGGAAAAAAAAAAAAAAAATTTCTTGCATGTTCTGCATCAGTGACCATAACCCCTCAAGTTCACCTCTCATGCAGTCTGATAAATGGAGGAGGAAGCCAGAAACCTGATGGGTATCTCTTAAGCAGAGCTGAATTGGGAAAAAAAAAAAAAAAAGTGATTCCTTTGTTTTTATATAGAATCTTGCTGTGATTTTTCTACCTAAATAACACTCTGATGAAGCAGGTTCTGAACTGAAAGCACTGTTCAGAGGGGCTCAGTAAAATACCAGTATTTCTCAAGAAGCCTGTGCCCCATCTCTGTGCCTGCAATCCATGTGTTCCCTTTTCTCACTCTACCAAGTTCTGGAGATTTTTATTTTTTTTTGTATCTCTCAACCTAATTTCATGCTTATTAGTTTCAGTTACTTTATGTTACGCTTCATTCAGACAACAAAAGTGGGAAAATACTCATTCTTTAAAAAAAAAGAAAATCCAAGCATAACCAGCTCAAAGCAGTGAGGTTTTTGGGTTTGGGGCTCTCAGCCGGGATGCCGGGCAGAAGCAGAGAGCAGTGGCATCTCTCAGGTTTGCTGCCTTGCTGGGGAGCACTGCTGATTCACTCTGACATGAAATAAAGGAAATTCCTGATGGTTGCAGACTGAAGTGTTTTTGACAAGATGCCTTCCCCATCCCTCTTTCTGCCTCCCACCTCCAAAGCAAATATGTTTTGTTGTTTTTTTTTTCAGTATCCTCTTCAGCACAAACTGTCAGGCATCGGGGGGAGTTTTTGCCCATCTTTTGTCTCCTTGAAAAGTGATGTATTTAAATGATATGCTCAGAGCATGCTGCTGATGAGGGCTCTGGTGCCTGTTGTCCTCCACACTGTGTTACAGTTTCCTTGAGAACTGGGGAAGCTCAGCCCAAGGCAGTGACACCGTCCTTTGTCCTGCATCCTTTCTGTTGTCCCCGCCGGGCATTCCTGTGGCATTTCCTGCAGCCACACTGCCGATGCCATTTGTCATTACTGTCACACGGCACAGCTTTTCTTTGGGAAGTCAGTGGTGACAAGATGCTGGAAGAGCATCGTGGGGTTTCTGTGCCAGAGATGGTATCTGGCTGGGCTGCTGGGTGCGGGGCTGCTGCTCACTGGGGACCTGTGGGATTGTGTTCAGCTGCCAGGAGGCAATTAGCGTGATGAGGAATCACAGAATGGCTTGGATTGGAAAGGACATCAAAGCCCACCCAGTTCCAGCCCCCTGCCTTGTGCTGTTTGCCTCCTACCAGCTCAGGCTGTCCAGGGCCCCATCCAACCTGGCCTTGAATTTTTTCAGGGATGGGGCACCCAGAGCTCTCTGGGCAACCTGTGCCATTGCCTCACAGCTCTCTCAGTGAAGAATTTCCTTCTAACATCTAACCTAATTTTCCCCTTCTAGTTTAAAACTATTCCCCCTTATCCTGTAACTATCAGGCCACGTAAAAAAAGTAAATCCCCTTCCCGCTTGTAAGCTTTCTTTAAGTACTGGATGACAGTGTGTTTGGAGGAAACTATATTCTTCAACTACTCTTTTAGGACATCTTTCTGTTTGGAGTTAGAGCATCCTTGTAGTTTTGCCATCGCTTAGAACAGTTTGTGCCTTTCTTGTCTGCAGATCTGCCAGCATCCCGTCTGTGTGTTTGTAGTTAAATCAGGGGTTAGGGGTGGTTTGAGAAATACTGCTTAAGGCAAACACAAGTTTCAAAATCCACACTTAAGCAGATACAAAAAAAATAAATCTTAGCTCTCTGAAGTGTTTTGCTTTCAAGCCTAAATGTTCTCAAGGTGCCTTAAATTCTGCTCATTTGTCCTGTTACCCAGTGTCCCTGTGTTTATCTCTACATACCTTATTTTCATGCTTTCCTACAGGGGCAAACCACCTCTGGGGAGGCAGCAGGGCTGTTTGAAGCCCGGTGGGAGGCTGGGCTGTGCTGGCTGTGACTGCTGCCCCGGGTCTGTGCCCCTTGGTGCCACGCGTCCGCAGAGCCCATGAGCCCCTGGCGCACGTCTGAGCCAGAGAGCGGTGTCACAAGGCATTACTTATGCTGAGCAGAGCATGAGCTCCAGCCCCATCTCTACTGACTTAGAAGATCAGAGCACTGAGTTTCTGGATTTAAACTTTATCTCCTGAGATCTGAATTTGTTTTCTTCCGCTCCACTCTTGCACCTTTGTAAATGGGCGCTCTTTACTCTGTGAGGCACTGGCTCGGGCTGCCCAGAGCAGCTGTGGATGCCTCATCCCTGAAGGTGTTCAAGGCCAGGTTGGATGGGGCCCTGGGAAGCCTAAGCTGGTGAGGGAACTAGATGGTCTTCAAGGCTCCTTTCAACCTAAGCCATTCCATGATTCTCTGGTATGTGTGCCTGTTGGATGTTTTAAAATCAGTTTAAAAACACTCAGAAAGTTGGAATCAGCGAATCCTAAGACACACATCTTACTGAAATTTCACAATACTACTAGCAGAGGAGAGAAAATATTAAAAATCTTATTACTTTCTTTTTAATGAAAGAGATGAATAAGCTAGGAAGCTGGTGGAGTAAAAATTGCAGTTGAATATATCTTTTCAGTCATTAACCTTTTTTGACTTGTCAGTGGTTTTTGAATATCTGTTCTTAAATTATGTAAAACATCTGGTATGAGGGTGAGGAAAAGCCCAATGCACATCTGGGTTTGGCGGGATTCTTCATTCATGAAGTTTCATCCTTAAAATGATCTCAATAGTTTAAGGTGTTGAAGTCTTTAAATCAAGGTTTATGGTGGCTTTAAGGTGCTCCCCAGTTAAAGCACGAAGGAAAGTTGCTTGCTAGGGCTTTAAAAGGAAGCACTGAACATTTATTGCTAGTTATTTACTTTTTATTATGTGTACATAGTAATATTTTTTTCAAGGTGTGTTTGGTAAATGACAGCTTTTAATCAAGTTACAGAACAAAATAAATGCTTCAAATTGGGTGTAGTAAACCCTTGTTTTACAGGGATGATCTGTTGAGGCCACCCTTGGTCTGCACTGAAATTAAGCAGGCAGAGTCTTGTCTGATGGCAAGAAGATCCAAGGACCAGTTTGCTTACAAACTAGCAAGCATCGTGCCAGGAAGTTCTCAGCCAGAAGCACACATTTTAGGCAAAAGCAGAGTGTGAGGACAGAGAATCTCCAGCTGATACCTGCAGATAGCTTGGGCATTTAAAGGAAGGGCCCTATGCTGCAGTTGTATTTGACTTCAACACTATTTAGCAACTCTGTTCTGAAGTGTGGTATGAAGATTATAACTTTGAAATTAAGCTTTCTTTTTCCATATTTTCCTTCCCACTAATTGCAAGGCTGCTGATGGCCAATTCTGAGTGTTAAAGCCCCAGAAAAGTGTAATCTGCATTCTGTTCTAAGGCCGAGATTGATTACAAACCCTTCAGTATGTGCTGACTAGTAGTGGGTCTGTGTTGTCCTCATCCACCTCAGGGTCATCGAAAAGCCTCCTCCCTGCAGATCCTTGCTGCTTTTTGCAAACCTCTAGTAATTGGTCAGCAGGGAAAGCTTCATATATGAGAATCCAGCGCTGATGGATTCTTTGGCTGTGGGAGCAGCAGGGCTGACGCAGACTGCTTTCTGGTGGTTTTGACTCTTGAGGTTGAATTCCTGAGTGATGGTCCCTGAATGTCTGTGCTCACAGCGACCTGTTCTTTCACCGCTGGAGCTGCACACATACACCTGCACATACAAATTGTGTGTTTCTACCTGGACACCAAGCTGAGCGGTGCAGTTGATACACTGGGGGAAGGGAAGCCATCCAAAGGGACCTGGACAGGCTGGAGAAGTGGGCCCGTGAGAACCTAATGAGGTTCAATAAGACCAAATATAGAGTACTGCACTTGGGCCAGAGCAATCCCAGGTTTTTATACAAACTGCGGGAAAGATCTTCTTGAGAGCACCCTGCGGAGAAGAACTTGGCGGTCCTGGTGGACGAGAAGCTGGACATGAGCCAGCAGTGTGTGCCTGCAGCCCGGAAGGCCAACTGTGTTCTGGGCTGCATTAAAAAAGGGGTGGCCAACAAGGAGAGGGAGGTGATTGTCCCCCTCTACTTGGCTCTTGTGAGGCCCCATCTGGAGTACTGCGTCCAGGCCTGGGCCCAGTAAGGAAAGACATGGAGCTCTTGGAGCGGGTCCAGAGGAGGGCCACTAAGATGATCTGAGGGCTGGAGCACCTCTCCTATGAAGAAAGGTTAAGGGAACTGGGATTGCTTAGCTTGGAGAAGAGAAAGCTCCAGGGTGACCTCACTGTGGCCTTCCAGTACTTGAAGGGAGCGTATAAACAGGAGGGGGAATGGCTGTTTACATGAGTTGATAGTGACAGGACAAGGGGAATGATTTTAAACTAAGATGGGAGGTTTAGGTTGGATATTAGGAGGAAGTTTTTTATACAGAGGGTGGTAACGCACTGGAACAGGTTGCCCAAGGAGGCTGTGGATGCCCCATCCCTGGAGGCATTCAAGGCCAGGCTGGATGTGGCTCTGGGCAGCCTGGTCCAGAGGCTGGCAACCCTGCATATAGCAGGGGGGTTAAAACTAGGTGATCATTGTGGTCCTTTTCAACCTAGGTCATTCAGTGATTCTGTGACGTGCTTTTTGGACGCCATGTATACGTTCCAGTTTCCTCACCCCAGTACAGCACTGGGGCAGCAGTGCAGCTCCTCTGCAGCAGCCTCCACCTCTGGGGTCTGCATAAGGGCTGGGTGCAGCTGTACTGGGGGCCTTCAACCCATCTCCATGATCCTGTCCTGGTGGGGAGGATCTGATAAAAGGATCAAGCTGTTCCTTCACATTATCACGCTGTAGTGAGTGGGCAAACACTGCTGTTCTCATCTTGCCTTTACCTCTGAGATCACCAGCAGCTGTTTCATTAACTATTAATGGCCTGCTCATTAATGCTGTAAAAGGCTACGACCAATCTTGCAAATTTGCTGGGCTCTTCCCCTGAAATATTTATGATTTGCTCGCTGTGCAAAAGGGCAGGAGCAACAGCAGTGAACATGCCTCCAAGTTTTGTTGAGCATTATTAAAGAGCTCATGAATATGAAGAAGTTGGCAGCTTCTCTCTTTCTCTCTCTTTTTTTTTTTGGCTTTCTGAGCTCGCGCTGTGTCTGGCTGCAGTGGCACAGGCTGCCCATAGCATATACTTGCTGCAGCACTGCTGGCTCAGTTGCTCCCTTGGTGCCCATAACTCCAGGCAACACAGCAGCTTCATAGCCAGCTGACCCACTCTAGTGTCTGCACTTAAGAGTTTTGGCTGCTTTGCCTATGATCTGTAGGTCCTGTAGTGCTTTTTGCACAGTGCTTTACAAAATCCAAGGTGTGAAAGTTCCATCCAGAAGAGGTTATGTTACTTTTGCTTAATAGATGGGGAAACTGAGGCACAAACGTTAAACAATTTGTAACCAAGCAATGGGAAGCTAGCAGAGGATGGAAATGTTTTTGCCAAAACTGCTGTAGTATTTTTGATTAAAGTCTGGTTACCATGAAAAAGGGAGGATTCAGGTCAGGGAATATTAGCAGGTTTTCTGTGTGCTTAGAGGAATTCTCTTGCAGGCAACCTGAGCTTGGTGTCAAGTGACCTATTATCTCCTACTTTCTCCCACTGCTGTTTTTTGCTTGGGTTTAATGTGATGTGGAACCATCGGGAAACTGAGATCCCCATGCCATATCCCCAGCAAGCACTGTGTCCCTTTGCAACCATTCCATGTGGAGGTGCTTTCATCACCATTTCTGTTCTCCTTGAGCTTGGAGCCTGATCTGCTAATTCAACTCAAAAGCCACAAGCTGTGTTAAGCCTGGCTCAGGAAATCTGTAAGTTTTACAGAGGCACAGACCGGTAAAGCTTCAGTTCTGGAACCAATCACGATGGACTCAACTCGTTGTAGGTGGAGAATTAAGTAGTATATCCCTGAATGTTGTGTTCATGGAGAAATTGGATGGGGCCGTAGGCAAGCTGATCTAGTGCCTGATTTAGTGATCAGCAGCTCTGGCAGGGGGATTGGGACTGGGTGATCTTTGAGGTCTCTTTCAACCCAAGACACTCTGATTCTGTGGTTCTGTGGTTCTGTGATTCTGTGAATAGAAGAGTGGTGAAACAGAGACAGGAGCCCCATGAGGCTCCCGGAAGCTGACAGTCCCATGAGGCTCCCCAAACCTCCTCGGAAACTGCTGCTCAGTCATTCCCATCCCGTGCC